AAGGTTTCGGGTTTAGGGTTTAGGGTTTAGGGTTTAGGGTTTAGGGTTTAGGGTTTAGGGTTGAGGGTGGTTGAGGCGGTTGTTAGACGATCTTGGTAGGTTGGCAAACGTTTTGTTGTCTCTCTGTGTCTGTGTCTGTGTCTGTGTCTGTGTCTGTGTCTGTGTCTGTGTCTGTGTCTGTGTCTGTGTCTGTGTCTGTGTCTGTGTCTGTGTTCCTGGTTGCTCTTTGGGCTCAGGGCCGAAGGTATCGAAGTATCGGGTGAAATATCTAGACATGCTGCTTCTGCCGCTGCTGCTGTTGTTGGCAGTTGCTGACATCCCTTATGAGTTGAGCTTGCAACGGGTCCAAGCATCACCGCCCAAGCATCACCCCCAGCTAATCTAGAACAAACTCAAACTTCGGATTGAAAAGGTAACCTAGTTCGATCACGCCGACCTTAATCCCTCCAGCACCTGCCCCTTTCAGCAAAAGCCTCCAAACCTCTCCTACGACCCAGGCATCGAAGAGTGCCGAAGCAAGGCTGAGAGCTCGGGGACTTGGAGGGTAAATTGCAGAGTTTAAGGCTTCACAGGGAGATTGTTCGGGTTTCTGCAGGGAAGGTTGTTTCAGGGTTCGTTGGGCCATTTGGGGACGTTTTCAGGGTCTAGGGCCTAGGGTTGATCCGAAACTGAGAGGTGGCCAAGGCCCTAAACACCCCAGACGACGCCCCGTGAACTCTGTCCCAGCGCCTGCAGTGGACCCCCCTTCTTGCTGTCCTGAACGGGTGAAGGATTTCCAGGGATCAGAGTCCCTCTTAAAGTGTGGCTCTGGGTTTTTAATACCCCAAGCCCTCTTGATGTAATTTGCCTGCAGAATGTGATGTGGGACTTTGGCGCTTTCTCATTCAACCCCAAGCCCTAGGCCCTGAAGCTGCTAAGTCTCAACACCAAAAGACCAGACCCAAAGGGCACACGAACCAGAAAGACAGGCAAAAGCATTCACGAGGAAGGCATGAAGCTGCTTGAGGACATAAGCCTGAAGAAACCAGCAGTCGCTCTTAAAGAACTGACGTGGAACCGCTTCGCCGAGCAGGGCGAAGAAGGGGCCAGAGTCCCGAAAGTGAACCCAGAAACAGGAAGCCTTGCCCTTTCGCCACTGTGGTTTTGGTTTGAGCTTCAAGCTTGAGCCCAACAGCCCCACAACAACCCGATAACCCCCAAACCTGGCTAAGAGTTTTATGCAACACGTCACTCGGACATCCAGAAGCGAAGATGGGTTTCTGGGTCAAGTGCGCAATTTTGAAGGTGGCCCTGAAACCCAAAGACTGCTCGAACTTCTTCGGGGCATTGCAGGGCAGGCTAGGGGCTTCAGGTTTGAGCCTTTGACACTAGAGGCAAGAAACTATTTTACTTCGAACCCCACCTTAGCACTCCAGGGAGACTCTGGGGTTGGGCACTCCAGGAGTCTCTTGGTTGGGCACGCCAGGGAGTCTCCGGGTTGGGCACTCCAGGAGAATCTGGGGTTGGGCACTCCAGGGAGAATTTTTTCAGGAGTCTCTAAGTTGGGCACTCCAGGGAGTCTCTAGGGTTAGGCACTCCAGGGAGACTCTGGGGGTTGGGCACTCCAGGGAGACTCTAGGAGTAGACCGGGTGAGGAGAAGAGTTCCGGGCGAGGAGAAGAGCTGAGTTGAAAATCTAACAACCCCACACCGAGGGTGGGGAAACACATAGATGCAAAGCCCCAGACTCGCATTCATGAAAAAGCACTTGGAGGTTGGCACACCACTCCCTTGTAACTGAGGGTTTAGGGTTTAGTTTCAGGGTTGAGGTTTTAGGGTTAGGGTTTAGGGTTTACTGGCTCTCAACGAACTCTCCAACAACCAGATGTCTTTTTGCTCGCATTGGGGCTTAGGGTTTCGGGATGAAGGCTTAGGGTCTAGGGGATTCGGGGGTAAGGTTCTAAGCCTTGAAACCTTCAGGGTTCAAACCTGAAGCTCTAAATCGGAACACCCAAGCCCGCAAAGCTAAACCCGGAAGTCCCTAAACTCCACAATCCCCGGCTCCAACACTCTCGGCCCCAAATGGGTCGAAGAGGAGGTCCAGGCGGTTCGGAATGTTTTGGCCCTTGGCACAAGGTGACATCTCGCGAGAGACTGCATCGGCGCTGGGTCAACTCTGCTCCGCTTCAGATTTCTGGTGCCGCTTCAGCTCGCTCAGCTTTGGGAAGGATCCGCTAGCCACGCTGGTGCCCTCCTCCTCCTTGCAAACTGCTCCACGAAAGGGGGCTCTGGCCGGGCGTGCTCGCATCGTACCGCAGCCACGGCCGAGAAGGAGATGGTCACCTGGTAGCCGGTGTTGCAACTGCACTCTTTGAGGCAAACCAGGTGGCGCACCTCTGCGAGGAAATGTTTTGCTTTTGGGCTGAGGCGGCTTACGTAAGGCAGTTCGAGACTTGTGTCACGTCTTCTTCGGGCCTTTGGAGCAAAGAGCCTGGCTATGATCGCCTGGCCCCAGGTCAGAAGCCAGTGATGAAGAGCTCGCTGGCGCACTCCGCAAGGGCCATCATAGCTCGAGAAGTCGCCGTCAGCGATGCGTGCTGCTCTGGAGACATGGCCTGCAACTCAAGGGCTACAGAGACCGTCAACGAACCTGTTTTCGAAGTCATTTGGAGCACTTCAAGAAACACGCGCCAGACGAAGCAATCGTTCTCGCGGCTGCGAAATCTGACTTTCGAGACTTGCGAAGCGGAGAAGTTGATGGAGAACATTTGAATGGGCACCATAGAACGAACTCTTCAACTCGCTCGGAACTCAAAACGCGCGAGAAAGTTCGTCCGCGAACAGCTGACAATTGTGATGTTCTTTTTCCGTAAAGTCACTAGCTTACAAGCCAGCGAAGTTCCTTCCGACGTTTATGATCATTGCTGATTTCGTTGCTGCCTGTGTCTTGAGAGATCCATGGACTGTCTCATGTTCGCCCGTCTTGCATCAGAAATACTGCTAATAATCCTAGAAATGCCAAGAAACACAGAAATACTAATTCCAAGAAACGAATAATACTAATCATACTAAAGCAATAGGAGTATAGGGCTACAGGAGTGCAAGGCCTGTAAATCATGCTAAAACTGCCAGAATACCTAATAAGACTAATACTAAAAATAATATGTCACATACACACACACAACACATTGATTCGATTGAAGAGGATGCCAATGACACGAAAGCAGATTTTGACACTTATAACACAATGGATGGATTGGATTTGGTCGAAGCGCCGAAAGAGTTTCAAAGCAACACGAATAGCAATAATAACAACCATGGCTACTAGTAGCCATGACGTTTTCGCTAAAAGACCAGCAATGTACAATCCGTGCAGTTTTAATATATTTGACAACATATCATCATCATCATCATCATCATCATCATCATCATCATCATCATCATCATCATCATCTATCAAAGAATTAATACTAAGTTTGTGATTGGCGATGAACAATTCAAAAATAGTACAATACTGTCTTTACATGATGGTTCTAAACTGTTACAATAATCACGACGAAAGTACTAAACATACCAGTAATAAGATGAAGAATACTTATACTTATAATTCTAATAATACGAATAATTATATGGCTAATGCTGGTAACGGCACGGCTCAGGCTAGTAGTACTAATGAAAGACTAATACCAATAATAGTGAAACCAACTACAATAATGCAAGTGGTAAATTGAATACGTCAGAGAAATACTAGTAAACTAGTAATGATCATAAGAATGACAATGATAGCAGTCTCAGTAGTGATAATTCATAGTAACAAGAAACCATCGCAGCAAACGTAATAATCGCAACCATGGCAACTGTCGTGAAAATAGGAAAAGTAAGGAGTTCGTGACAATGACCAAAAATAATCATAGTGGTGATCATAAGTAGCAATAGTAATAAGAGAGAAATAGCAAAAAAACACAACGATGACATATTAAGTATGAACGCTTGGAGCTCCCCATCTCGCGTTCCAGACCCTAGGCCCTCACATTTACAATTTACAGCAAACATCTTCAAACAAAGCCACAAAGCCCTCAACCCTGAGAAGCCACAACAGATGCAGCAACGATCGGCCTCGCCGCTGGGCACACGAGCCAGGCCCGGCAAGGCCGCGTCCGTCACCTTACTTTGGTTCCCTGCGGGAAACCCTAAACCCTAAACCCTAAACCCTAAACTCTCCGGGGCTGCGTTCAGATCTTGGCAAGGCTTTAAAAGCAGTTAGGACGAGCAAGAACCTGCGACTAGCACACCCTCCAAGCCCTAGCAGGTAGCTCGCGGTTCCTTGGGGAGAGTCGCGCGCGGACGGGAGCCCAGAACCCTAAACCAAAAAAAACAAACTTTGTCAAAGGGCTGCGAGCAGCCCTGAACCCTTAGACCTCCGTAAACCTAGTGCGTGTGACTCTTTCAGGCCTCCACAAGCTCTGCGCGTGCGCCCTCGGCCACAGCCTGAACAGACGCCAATAGGTGTTCTACGAGGGCAATGCGAGGCCTGGCCGGGCTTCAGATGTTTTTGGGTTTCGGGGTGACGGCTTGCAGGGAAGGAGGCTTTTGTGCTCTACTGGGGTCTTTAGGGTTCAGTCGTTAAGAGACTTAAGCGCAAAAGGGCCTGTCTATCCATGTCCAAACACGTGCTATCTCCTCGTCATCCTGCGGAGCAACAAGACTCAAAGGACCGGGGGCATTCCACTGAAACGAGCACACTCCAAAAGGCCTGCCGAACCCCTAGAATGCTTGTTGGGAACCAAAGGAGGTTCCGAAGGTCTGAATCCTTGGCCAGTGCTAGCACTCAAGCTCGTGTGAAAAGCTAAGGAAACTCGGGTCGTTCCAAAAATGTCCACAAAAGCCCCTCCCCTCCCCCCCCCCCCCCCCCCGAAGAACCCAAGAGGCCTCACAAAAGCCCCCCGAAACCCGAAAACTCGAACTTTCTTTCGGCCTCGACGCGCAGGTTCTCCAGCAGGACGGCCCAGGCCGCCACACAGGCTGCGTGCAAGTGTTCCTTTCACAGGAGATGCTTGGGTTTAGGGTTTAGGGTTTAGGGTTTAGGGTTTAGGGTTTAGGGTTTAGGGTTTAGGGGGGTTTAGGGTTTAGGGTTTAGGGTGTAGGGTGTAGCGTGTAGGGTTTAGGGTTTAGGGTTTAGGGTTCAGGGTTTGGGGTTTAGGGTTTAGGGTTTAGGGTTTAGGGTTTAGGGTTTAGGGTTTAGGGTTTAGGGTTTAGGGTTTAGGGCAGCTTCTTCTGCAAACCCAGTCTCTGGGCAGCCCAGGTATTGGAACACATGTCGAAGCTCTCGCACTCGCGCGTCGGCATGTGCCCAATCCACGATGGTGACGCGCTTGCCCGTGCAGTGGGCACACTCGTTGATGGTGAAGAGCTGCCCTGTGCTGGCGGCACCTTGGTCTTCAACCCTAAACCCTAAACCCTAAACCCTAAACCCTAAACCTTAACTTTTGCATCCAAAGAAACCACAACAATATCCAAAACCTTTATCCCACTCCTCCGAACCAACAGGGTTCTGGAGCTGAGGGCTTCAGATATAGGGATTGGGGTCTAGGGTCTCCCTAAACCCTAAGCCCTAAACCCTAAACCCTAACCCTAAACCCTAAACCCTAAACCCTAAACCCTAAACCCTAAACCCTAAACCCTAAACCCTAAACCCATCAATCTTTGATGCTGGCACCTCGCGCGGCCAGGGTGTCCAGCTGGTCCGCGAGCTGGAAGAAACCCTTGAAGTGTGGGAGAGTTAGGGTTTAGGGTTTAAGGTTTAGGGTTTAGGGCTTAGGGTTTAGGGTTTAGGGTTTAGGGTTTAGGGTTTAGGGTTTAGGGGTTTAGGGGTTTAGGGGTTTAGGGGTTTAGGGGTTTAGGGGTTTAGGGGTTTAGGGGTTTAGGGGTTTAGGGCTTTAGGGCTTTAGGGGTTTAGGGTTGAGGTTTTAGCTTGTGAAGTTTAGGGAGCAGCAAGACAAGCACATCCCATCTGAGCTCTGCAAAAGAAGAACATGGGTGAATCCCCCCAGCTTGTCACACCATGCCGATAGCTGCTTTACAAAGAGCCCGAAGACAAAGCCCCCCCAAAGCGCTTCCCGCTGGTTCTTCCCCAACTCTTCGGCCTTGAGGTGTCGGCGCAGGACCTCTTCCGAGCTTTCAGGGTCCCTTTCTTCTCTGAGGGTCTTTGAGACTCCTGAACACTTGGGATTTACCGGGATCTTGTGGGTGCAGGGCAGAGAGCTCTCAAAAACCACCTAAGGACATACCTCAGGCCCCAAACACAGCACCCGACCGGTTTTGTGAGGCCTTCAAGTGCAGAAAGATGCCACTGGTGCGGAGCAGCTCGGAGAACGTGCTGATCAACCGCTCCTTCCTCGGCTTCAGGTTTGCAGGCTTCCGGCTTTCTTGGGGTCGGGGAGGTAGGGGGGGGGGGGAGAAGCGGGCTGTGTGTTTTGCCGCTTCTGGTCGCAGGGTTTAGCTTGCTTCAGGTTTTCTCCTGATGAGACGTGATGAGGTTTTTGAGGGTTGTTCTAGGGCTGTCGGTTTTGGGGCCAACTGATGACCACCACATGATTTGGGCTAATTTGGGCTCGTGCAGCCAGCCCCCTCTCAAGGCCATCCGGGCTTCTGCGTCGCCGCCTCGGTGCCAGCGAGAAGACCGGCGGCGTGCTGGGCCGCACTGCGTTTTCGTAGCAGTCGGTCGAGGTTGGCACGAGCTGCCTCCTTCGCCTGGTACTTGTCGCGGGCCGAGGCCATTCGGTGAGCGAACTCGCTCAAGAATGGGCCGAGGCTTGCAATGTCGAAGCCGTTGTCCGGGACGCCCAGAAGGAGCCTGCTGTCAAAGCTGTCACTCATGATTCTGCCGTTGTGCTGCTGCTCGTGCTGCTTGTCCAGCGGGATAACCACACCCACTGGCGCTTCAAAGGTATACAGCATGTCTGCAAGCTCTCCGCTGGCTCCCGCACCTGCAGTGACGATGCCGTGCCCTTGTGCAAGCTGGCAGATTCGCATGACGTTGGTGCGGCCATCCTCGACATGCAGGGCCCCCGAGGTTTCGAAGTTCAAGCTCCCCCCTGCATGACCCCGAGCTCTTGCTATTAGCATTGGGGTGAGGACTTTACGGTTTCCTAAACCCCAAACCCCAAACCCCAAACCCTAAACCCTAAACCCTAAACCCTAAACCCTCTAAACCCTAAACCCTAAACCCGAAACTTGGTGCAAGAGTCCAGCTTGGCGGGTGCACTGGGACGATCATACTTGTGCCAATCCCTGCCACAGCCAACGACGAGGGTTCCAGGATAGTCGCGCCGGTGCCGGAAATAGTACTCCAGAATGGAGCGCCCGCTCAAGTGCGCGTAGACGTAGACCAGATGCTCAATCGTGTCCTCTGTGGCATCTTCCGAGTGGATGATGCCCTGATGCGCCGTGCCAGCCTCCTCACTTGTAATGCGGCGTCCATGCAGCAGAAGGAACTTCACTGCCGAGCGGCGGTCGGCGGCAAAGGCATACTGCTCCAGGTCTGCGCCACTCATGCGGCGGAATGATGGGTCCACGATGTCGACGTGGGCAACGCGGAGGCCTTCCCTCCCCATGTTGAGAACCTTGACGAGGAAGGTGCCTCGGATCAGCTTCCCCAAAGTTGCGAGCTGCTTGTCCGTGAAAAGCTCGGGCTTCATCATGTTCCAGTAGTGCTTCGATGCCTCCTCGAAATCGGAGGCATACGCTGCCACGTCCTGGAGCGAGCGGATGCCAAAGGAGTGCAGGAGCAAGTCTTGGTGGTTCTCGTAGTCCAAGCCCTGCAGCCTGGGCGGCGCCCCGGCCTCGAGCATGCCCGCCCGCAGCTTCAGCGCAGCGGAGGTCAGGTTCGGGTCCATGTCCGTGATGACCGAGATGTGGGCCTCGGCGGCTGTCTCGGCCAGGAGCACGTCCATCAAGGAGCGTGCTGTGGGCAGGAGGCTGGGGGCGAGGTCCTCCCAGGAGAACGTGGCCTGTGAGGCCTGTGGCTCCTGCGAGTCGAAGAGGACGAAGCCACGCTCGCACAGCAGCCTCTTGGCCTCCTCCCCTCGGTAAACCTCCGGTCGCGCCACCACCATCTCCCACATCAGCTCCTTCGCAGCTGCACCTGCCTGCATGGTGTAGAAGCCCGTGACGCTCTTCAGGGCACGCACAAGAATCAGCCGGCAGCCACCCTGCAGGAGAGGCGAGAGCTTGCTTAAGATGCTGTGCGTGTGATCCACCTTGTGCCGCTTCTCTCGCGGCACGCTGCCATCTGCCAGCATCTCTCCCTTCCAGGGCTCGGGCATCGAGACCAGCAGCGTCACCCCAACAAGGCTCTTCCCTCGAAGAAGCTCCCCGAGCACCGAAGTGAGGCGCTCATGGCCACCTCCGGTGGTCGAGAAGCCCAAGACGAAGAGGTGCCGCGTGGCCTGCAGTATGGCCCTCACCGGTGCCTGCGGGCAGCTCTCCTCCATGTCGCGGGAGAGCGGAACAGGTGGCGGCTGCCCCCTCCACGTCCCAGAGCTTATCCCATTGATCCGTCAACCGTGCCGGTGATTATTCAACCCAAGACCTTGAACGGCACTCCCTCAAAGGAGGACGCAAAGCTGTAGCCTCCTTCTCAGGGCCTTCTTGTTCCCCAAACCCTACATCCTACACCCTAAACCCTAAAGTCCCACACGCTCGTACCCCAAAGCCGCCGAGCCTGCACGCTGTCGCCGGCAGCGGTATTTGCGCTCCGGCGCAACAAGGCATCCTGTGTGGCACTTGTTGAAACCACTTTCAGACGGCTAAGGGTTTGGGGTTTGGGGTTTGGGGTTTGGGGTTTAGGGTTGAGGGTTGAGGGTTGAGGGTTGAGGGTTGATGGTTGAGGGTTTAGGGTTTAGGGTTTAGGGTTCAGGGTTTAGGGCTTAGAAAATCGCATCTCTGGCCTACGAGGACGGGAAGGAGTCTTGAATGCCGGATTGTCGGACTGAAGCTATGAAGGCTGAGACGTCAAGCAGAGGCCCAGACAACAAGCTTCAGTCCAAGCATGTCCAAGCTGTTGACAATCTGAAAGATCTGAGACTGTAAGGGACATCCACAAACCCCTAACCTCCGGAGATCCAAGCTAAAGAAAACCCTAATAGCCTAATAGTTGTTTCCAACTGCTGCGTCCTGCGGCACGTTGTACCACTTGTCCCCGTCATCGTAATCCACCTGGTAGCTGCCATCTCCATTTCTTCCTCAGGGCTGCCAAGCTGCAGGGCTGCAGGGCTGCAGGGCTTCGGATGCGTTTCAGAGACGGGTCTGGCATTAAGGGGTTCAGGAGTTTAAGGCTCTTGGCGCACATGGGAATGCATGTGAAAGCAGCAGCTCCCAGGAATCAAGGGTCGGGTTTGGGGGGGGTTCAAGGCTCCAGAGCCTCGAAACAGCTTGATGCTTGTTCAAGAACATGATTCAAGGAAGAGCCTGTGCTTGTAAACCAGTGGGTTGCTTACAAAAACCGTTGTAAAGACACATACTTTGCTGAAAAAGACACTACGGCTTGCTGGTAGACGTTGCCAAGAACAAGTACTGTGTACCATTACGCGTGTACAAGCACAAGTGATGGCCTCGTCTGGATGCTGATAAACGCGCTTAGCAGTTGTGGTGAGAGTAGGGCAAAGCTTGCGCGGTGCAGGTCCTGGCAACACACGAGCCTCCTTTCCAGTTGTTCGATGAAGGCTTCTGTGTGTGTGTCCGGCAGTTCCCCCCAACCCCGGCCTCACCCTCCACGAACCACAGGGGTGAGAGGGAACCCTAAACGTGAACCTAAAGCCTCGACCCAACCCTGAGTAAACCTGAACCCTGAATCCTAAACCTATCCTTGAAACCAGGGGCAGAGTGAAAACCCCAAGCCTCAAAGCCGGACCCCAAACCCCAAATCCACCAAACGCCACAGACCATGAACCACAAAGGGTTGGGGGGGAGGAAATCCTAAATGCAAAGTTTTAATTTCAACCGCGGGGGTGAAAGGGGTGTACATGAATGCTGATGCATCTAAACCAACAAGGCAATATGGAACAAGGTGATGTTACAACCCCTCGAAGGGTAATTGTTTTAACACCCTGAACGCGAGCCGAAGGAATTGCTGTGGGAAAAGTGAAAGCCAAACTTGAACAACAGCTCGTGTCTCTACACTGAAGTGCTACAAACATCGTTTAAGCCCCTTCGAGCCCTTGCCTCAGGGCTTCGGATTTAGGGTTCGTGGTTTAGGAACTATGACACCTTTTGAAAGTGGATCAAGAGAGAACACCAGTAGAAAAGGCAGTTTGTTGAATGCCCGCGCACCCAACAACTCTGGCTGTCGGTCCAACCCCTAACTCTAAAAGCCCAGCTTGACCTCCCTAAACCCTGCTGAGCCCCGCTGGACGAGGTCAAACTGGGCGCTCTGCCAACGATTCGGCCAGCATAGTACCTGCAACTTTGCACAGCCGCGGGCGGCTTTGATGTTAGGGTTTAAGGCTGAGGGCTTGGCATTGCTAGGTTGAGCCCATCACCTGTCGGTGGGAAACTACAACCCCGCCCCCCCCCCCTCAATCCCGCGAAAGAGCTCTAAACCCCCCGCCCCTCTCAAGCCCGAGAAAGAGCTCGGGGGGCTGGGGGGGCTCTGGGATGGTTTGCTGTCCCACCTGCTGGTGATCCGCCCGCTGCTCAGCTGGTACCGGGCCTCGACTCGGGTTCCGACCTGACCGGTTTAACGTGGTGGGCTTCAAAGGTGCTGAGACTATGGGATTTTGGTTTTAGGGCTTTAGGGTTTTAGGGGTTTTAGGGTTTTAGGGTTTTGGTGGTTTTTGAATCAAGATGGGCCCAAAAGCCTCACAAAAGGCCTTAGGGCCTTATGGGACTGCCACGTAGGGCTTTGTGGTTTTTACAGGTTGCGGGCGACATGTGAGGAGAACGATAAGCGACCAGGTCCGAGAGAAGATCGAGCGTCGGCTCAGGCCGCAAAAACCCCCTGGCTTCCCCCAGACCCTAAACCCTAAACCCTAAACCCTAAATCCTAAACCCTAAACCCTAAATCCTAAACCCTAAACCCTAAATCCTAAACCCTATCTCCGGGGATCGGCCCAAGAGGACCCCGGGGCCGCGGCAGCCAGCTGCTCAGCTTCCTGCAACAGCCCAGCTCTTTCCCTGCCCCAAACCCTAACAGCCGACCAAACTCCCAGTTTAGGGTTTAGGGTTTAGGGTTTAGGGTTTAGGGTTTAGGGTTTAGGGTTTAGGGTTTAGGGTTTAGGGTTTAGGGTTTAGGGTTTAGGGTTTAGGGTTTAGGGTTTAGGGTTTAGGGTTTAGGGGCTTGTGGCTTAGGGCTTAGGGCTTAGGGCTTAGGGCTTAGGGCTTAGGGCTTAGGGCTTAGGGCTTAGGGCTTAGGGTTTAGGGTTAGGGCTTAGGGTTTCGGGGTTTAGGGTTTAGGTTTTCAGCAAGAGCCCACCCCTGAAATTGGACCAACCAATTGTCAGACTCCTTTGGCCCAACGGGTCCAAAGTCCTCTCCAAAACCTACACCCTGCATCCCTTCAGAACTTGTAGCCCTTTGGCCAGAACAGCTACGAACCCTTCAAGCCACTTTGTCACCCCAGCCAAAAACTCAAACCCTTCAGAAGAGCTTGCATGTCTACACAGCCTGCTAGGTGAAAAAAAAGTTCGCTTCCCAACAGCCTCCGGATCGACCCTGAAAAAGCAGAAGGCCCTTCGGCCCTTCAGAGGGTTCTTACAGACCTCATGGGGGGAAGGTACGGGAACCTCAGGGGAGCATTAGAGACCTAGGGTTATACCCCCTCCCCCCCCTTTCAGAGCCCTATAACCCCTGCCGCCTCCTCCCGTGAATCGCCAGCCTGCATTCGCAGAGCGTCTCTGCGTGTTGTCTTCGGGCGCCCGCAAATAATGAGGATAAAGAAACCGAAGCTTTAGAACCACTTATCATACTTACAACCGAAGAGGTTTTAGGGTTTCTGCGCGAATTGCGAGCTGTTTGGCTTCCTCGCGTTCACTCGCAATCTTCGCCAGGATTGCCGCAGAGAAAACAACCTCAACATCTACACCCTAAACGCTAACCTCATTGTACCTTTGCCTGCCCTATACCCAACATTGGGAAGCCTCGATCCCCTAAGCGACGCAATTCGTTTACCCCCCTTGGCTGATGTAACTCATGCAGGGTGTCTTTTGTCTGGGGTTTGGGTTCTTCGGACAGTGTGCGCACACTGTCCAACTGTTGGTTTTCATGTGTAAGCATCTCTCCCACAGGGCTTTGTGTTCTTGGCGTTTGTGTGTTTGAAAGACACCTGGCACAAAATGTGCCCCCCTACAGCACGTTTTTCCTCAACTCCAGTATTCTCAGGCTTCCGATCATGTTGGGTTCCATCCTTTTTAAGTCAGACAATGACCATCCCCTGGTACGACTTCTGCACCTTCATAGAACCCGGGTTCTGTCCCTCAACACCTTGACGCCGAAACCCACACCCTCCAAGAGCCCATTTCGCGCGGCAAGCGACCACGAGGGCACCCGAGATTTGCTGAAGAGATACGACTCCTTCCTTTTTCTGTATCACTATATTACACAGAGGACCCTCGGGATTTTGCACGAAACGTCTCTGAAGGTCTCGGTCTCTCTCTCGCCGAGCCACCGGAGGTCGGCCCATTTCTGCCAGGACGTCCAGGAGCCCGGACTTCACGTAGGCGGGCCTCGGGCAAGAAAGGGTGGGGAAAGGCAAGCTTGGGGGAGAAAAGGGAAACCCGGATGGGCTGTATTAGGCCTTAACATGCCCATCATGAACCCCAGGGCCTGTTTAAGGGATAATAGGGCATAATTCAAGGGAATTATAGGGGTATAATCGCCTTTTTAAGGGAATTATAGGGTATAATTGCCTTTTAAGGGATTATAGGGTATAATAGCCCATCCTGAAGAGGCGGGCGCCTTCGCTGTCTTTGGAGCTTCGGGGGCACAAAGGCCACGGCGCTGCTCAGGGGTGCGATCCGATGAACATCAAACTTTGCAGTATGGTGATGAGTGGCGCAAATGCAAACGAGTCATATATACATAGTGTAAACTTTCCGGGGGGTGCCTAAGATTAATGTTCCTAGTGATTTATTGTACTTGGTCGGTGCTTAATGCTTTGAAGGTTGTTTAGATCTTTTTCGGCGCGCTATTTGGCGTAGCACAAATCTCGAAAGCAGTATTCAAAGATCAACTTGGCGTACCAACAACGATGAAAGGAGCATTGAAACTAACCGCTGGGCTGGCGGCATCATTCGCAATTGTACAGCAACTTCAACGAAATAAACTTTTACCAGACGACCCGTTCAAGTAAATTAAAAAAAGATAGATATGTTATAAAACATATCCCTCTTAAGGTGGTCTTACACGTTGCCAAATGGCTCACTGAGAATATGACTCACACGCAAGGGATTTTTCCACACGGGACATGTGTATTGTTAGAAGTCAATTCGTTTCATAA